GTCTGTCTTGGAGCCGACTGGAACCAGCTCTGTCTGACAGTCTCTTCTCACAGAAGCCCTGAACACACCTGCTACCAAATCTTGACATGCAAACCCAATATGATATTGCATCATATGCATCACCACACAGATAGAAACAGAACAAATACCATCCCAGTGTAAGAATGATTGCCCACACAGATTCTTGGCTTCCCACACAAGAACCTTTCACAAAAAGTCCAATGTTAAAGGCTCAATGAAATCCTTTTTGCATTCCTTTCTCCTTCAGGGCATAACATTGCTGAAATCTCCTCTTTCATCTGACACTTGAATAGCCAGGAACCCACTACACTTGACATTAATGGGTACAGCTGTGATTGATTACTCGTATGGGATTTCATGATGAGAACAGAACTTTGGTACCCTGAGAACAACTGCTCTACCCAAATAAATTCATCATTTTTTATTTTTATGTTCTCACCTCTCATGGAAGTGGAGAATCTAGAGCTAAAAATAAGAGTAAAAGATACCCACAGTACAGGATTCCATACCCTAGCAAGTCAAAGCATTTCTAACGCTCTAGACAGAATCATAAAGGAAATGTGCTGGGCTTAATTCTCTGGTAATTACCAATTCATGACTCACTGTCCTGGGGTATATTCGTGCTGGTGTAGCCAGCGGATTCACAATCTATTCTTCACTTATGTATTACTATTTTGAGCAATCGGAAAGAACTTAGATGGCATAAAAGCCTTGGGGATTGTGAAGAATATCAGCAAAGCCAGAGGAATGCCAAACTGCACTACTCTTTCTTTGTCTCAAGGATTACCACATAATTCATCACTCTCTTTTTAAAAAATGGGACTGATATATAAAACCAATTACATACCATGTGGTGTTTATTTTTTTAATGTTTGGCTGTGTTATGTCTTATCTTTTTTGCATTCCCTTCTGTAAATAAACCTGGAACTGGAAAAAGTACTCCTAAAGGATGGGTACTATAATATGGCTTAAACAGAAATCATCACATTAGGGAATGCTGCATGGCCAGTTACAGTTTGTATGAAGAAGTAGAACCGTAATTGAAGTCAGGGTAATCAAAGTTTCTTAGTTTTAAAGCAGAAGAATATGCTCAAAATTAAAGGTTTCCACAATAAAAAACAAAAAAAAAGATTTGAATCTTCTTAGCTAGTATTTACACAGAAATAACAGATTTATTTTCTAAATGTTGATAAATTTTTTTTTTAATTATTGTGATTTAGGGTTAATTTTTTTAATTGTGAAATCCATATTTCCTGATTTTTCTTTGAAATATCAAAAAAGATTTTTAATGAACCATTTCTCTTCAGTATTTCCATATTTTCTGAACAGTATTTTTTCTATATTTTTTTTCATTTCAACTTGAATGACAAATCAATCAAATAAAACTAAACAAACTTCTATAATATATCTGGTTTGCAGTCATATTTAAATCTATCTGCAGCCTTACAGCTCCTTTTTTGTTTGTTTCTTTTAAAAACATAATAGAATACCTTCAGTTGGAAGGGATTTACAACAATCATCTAGTCCAACTGTCTGACCACTTCAGGGCTGACCAAAAGTTACAGCATGTTAAGGGCATTGTCCATTCACCTCAAACATTGACAGACTTGGAACATCAACCATCTCTCTAGGAAGTCTGTTTTGCCTCCTAAGATGGTAAGACAAGACAAACTGCTATGAAGGATTAGTTAACTTTCCTCTCCAAAAGAATAAATGAAACAAATTGGGAAAATGGCTGGGAGGGGGTAAGAAAATGCCACATTATATCATAGATGGGAAGAAAGTATTCTGTGTTCCTAAAACAAGAGATGGCAGTATACACTTTCCACTGATACCAATGACCTTTCCATGAAAAACCACATTTCATACGTTAAATCTGCAAAGATACTTAAGGGATGGTCCAGAACACTTGAAAAACAAATATAGCCTAGAAGATGTTTTTAATATATTGCTTATAAATCTACAGTATAAGATCTTAACATAAACAGTTTAAAATACTCAGTCCCTACTGAACTTCTCTTAATATAAATACATAAGACATTCCATTAAATTAATTGCATTTATATTTTCGTTGAGTAAAAATAATGCTTCTTTGGGAACTGCATGAAGATCTGGCTGCTGCTGGAGGCACTGGAAAAAATGTTTTTACAAAGCACAGGAAAATATTATGACTGACAATATTTGTAGTTACCAGGCTGAAATAAAAATCTTGGGCTGCATTACCAACCTCAGTCAACTGAAATCAAATAAGAAACATCTGCTAAAGATCTGCCCAGTAAAATGTTCTTGGCCCAACCAGCCAGTATCAGCAAGACACCTATCCTCATTTATAGTGAGATGCAAAATTTGAATTCATTTCACTAATCTTTAACACATCAGATGCTATATATTGTCAAGAAAATAATACTGGACTTAGTGCCCTAATAGTCAAGGTATGGCAAAGCCCATATTCTTACATCTGTTGAAAACTACACAAGTATCTGTTTCTACTTAGCACTCGGATAACTTGGGTGATGAAGGCCTTAAAGTAGTGGAAAGTTTCATGTAATGACCAACAAATTTCCACTGGAAGACCATGTCCAACTCACATGGTTGGACACACCTCCACTCACAGCAGATTCTTTGTATATTGCAATGTCCCATATGATGGAAATAAGAAATATTTATATATATTTATATATCTTTACGTCTAAGGAAGCCTAAGAGAAGGATCATCAGGTACTGAGGAGGCACCAAACATCTACTCACAAAACATTGCTGCAGCTGGCTGATACAGTTCTTGAGAGAAATCAGAATGGTCTATATACAGAAAACAGGAAAACAAAAACCTAGAAAATATCAAAGATTTCTAAAGGTTATAAATGTACAGACTGTTAGAATTTATTATTCTTATCTGAGAGGAATGCGATTTTTATGAACAACCATGTCTTTGAAATACTACATGGCAGTTATTCCTATCAAAGCTCCAGGACACTTCCCCGATTGTGTCTGAATGATATAAGGAATACCGAAACACATAGGGGTACTGAAACACAGCAAAATAGACTTAACATTGAACATGCACTTTCTGCCTTTAATGTTTTATACAAAAAACATCGACAGATTGAGTCAGAGAAAAACTGACACGTATTTCAGTGGTATGTTGCATTTTTCATTATTTAAGTGCGCTACATATACAGAGACTCAGATAAGAAAAAAAACATTCAATAAGTCTGCTAGAGAGGGGCTTCCACTGTTCTAGTGACTTTGACAGAGAGCCACATGCCCTCCTGATTTACACCCTGTATAAACTTGCTAAGGAAAAATCGGGTTTAAGGCAGACATGACACTTCTGACCTACTGCGCTACCTCTAAATGATTATACTCTTCCATGTGACAGTTAAGAGACCTGTAAACTGCATCGTCTGTGAAACTCTTGCTGCTGTGTAGAAATAACTTCTTCAATGAGGCTGTATTTTGCAGAAGTAAGTAAGAAGAAAGTGTCAGGCTGACTCAAGTATCTCAGCAGAAAAGTTTGAAACAAACTGGAGTAAATCAAATAGGTGTTCCTACAAAGCAACTGCAGGCTGGTTTTCTAAAAGTATGGACAATAAGTAGGTTGCTGACTGAAAAAGAGGCCCTTGGATATGTGACAAAGCTCCCTTGATATGTTCAAGGATAATTACACCAACAGGGCACCATGGCAGGTTAGGTCCTATGCTCCTAGCTCTTTCTGACAGGGTTTAACGTGTCGATGTGTCCCTGTCCTCGGTCACAACCTCCCCCCCACCCAGCATCAGCATCAGCACACATGCCAGTGCACCTTTGGACTTGCCCAGTTCCATTTTAGGTTAGTGCCCAATGTTTCTGTAGGTACTGTAAAAGCTTATCAGCAGTTTAAGCAGTTTTGGGTTCTGTTGGTTTTGGTTTTCCCTGAGTATAGCCAGGATGAATATCTATTTCAGCTCAAGAGGCAAACAACTACCTGAAGAACAAGGAAGATCACAGCGTGAACACATCGTAAATCTTGCAGCCAAGATCAGGTATATCCATTTCAATACTGGTGACACCAATAGCACACCACAAAAATATTGCTGAAAGCCAGATACAGCTTCATAGACACATGGATAATTATACTTTATGCAACTGACAAGGATCAGAGTCATTCTAAAACTAAAATCGAAAGTCATTTAGGGAAAGAAAGTGTCTGGTATATTACGACTAATCCGGTAATAAAAAAATACAAATTATTGGTAATGATAGAGTTGTGCACAGTCCATACTTAAACACTGAACTAAAAAGTGAAAGGGGGAATTCTCTGTTTTTTTCTATAGAAATTAGATAAATGTTGAGTGTGCAAACTGACAATATTAAAATATAAAATTAATTAAAACACTATGAAAAGGTTAATTTTGGTATTGAAAAAGTTATACGTTTTTCAAATTCATTTAATTCATATAAAAGACACTGACCTACTCCTCAAACATTTTTTCAACCTGCTTAAATCGTTTCTTAAACATTTTGAGAGACTGAAAAATGTTTGAGCTGAAAGTGAAATAATTTGATGTATGTGCACTCGATAAAGTCATATTTTTCACCAATTTCCTTAATAGTGTAAGTTTATATATGACTCCAGTTAATAGGTCTGATTCAACCTCTCTTAAAAAAATGTCATGGATTTTCCTCTGCAAAAACACTGCTCTCCTTTCCAAAGATCAATTCCACCAGTAAAATGAAAAGCAATTTCATTGGACATTATAGCCCTCTTTAAATCTTGGGCTCCACAGATCCAGACCTATAACCCTTATATGTGCTGACACTCAGTATGATCACTGGCCTGAGTATGAATTTGCAATAGCGGATGCAGCAATGCTGACATAATCTGCAAAAGACTCCAAGGCTCACACTGTCCCCATCAGTATGTCTGAAAACATCTTTCTTGATTAGAATGAAATACTTTTGCTGTTCATTTTTTATTTGCAAAATAAAAGACTTCATACCAAAAAATATGATCTTTTGAAACTCTTTCCTGCAGAAGAATCCATTTTTTCCCCAAGTCAATGGATGCATAAACCTACAAAAGAAAGAAAGAAAAACAAAAGATGATAGGAAACTGTTAATGTTGTACATCTTCAGAGACAAGTCCTATGTCACTGTTAAAATGACAGATTTTACACCAATAAGAAAGAGCAAACAAACAAACAAAGCATTACCAGGAACTCTCCATGATGTTTTTCAGAGTAATAACCTTTCATGGAGAATATTTGTTTTAAATATTATCTAGAATGAACAAAACTCAGTTTCACATGAAAACAATTCACAATTCATCTTGAGTCTTAGGGTTTGTTTTTGAGATTTAAGTCTTCATTTTGGGATTCTTTTTACCTCAGCATGGTTACACAAAAGAATACACCTTCCTTCTCCCTTTTCCCATTAATTGAACAAACCAGCACAAATGCTCTCTTTATGCTTCAAGCCTTAATTCCAAAAAAACATGTAAACTAGAAAGTCAATGAATTTCAAAATCTGCTAAAATAGGACCAAAAGATATTAGAGAGATGTTTAAGAGATTTGATGAGAGAGACACTTGAGAGCTGGCTTCACGGATACCAATCTGTGACCTGTTTAGAAATGGTCACTCAACGGTGATGCAGAAGATGGCCTGGAGGAAGAGGAAGACTCCAGCTCAACCTTCCTTCTAACCAAATGCTAATGACATGGATGGATATCCATGAAGAATGCAGATGAAAGCTGTTTTCCCACAAAATAAAGAGGAATATAAAACAGCTATTAAAAATCTTTGTCCTTCAGCTTTTGCCTTCATAATATGTTTTCCTTAGTTAAGAAATATCTATCAAACTTCTAAAAAGACAGACTTAAAGCCCCCTGCTGTTTGCATGCATTTCTTATTTGATCCAATTTACACATGATGGGTTTTCTCTCAATATTTCTAATAAGCAAAAAAAGGCAAGTAAAACTGTTCTTTGCTGTGGGAATAAGTCACCAGTTCAGTCACTGATTGTTGGGGGGGGGGGGGGGGGGGGGAAGTGTGTTATGAGGACTAGTGAGGAATGTTTTTGGTTTAAAATGACAGGTTCAATGACAAAACACTACTCCTCCTTGCCCCACATTCCTATAGAAAACTGGCAATATTAATATGTAAAGATAAAAGCTGAGGTAGCTTACCATTAATTCTACGGGTAAATTTACTAAAATTTGAATTGGAGATAAACCAGTATTTCCCAGTTACTCTGCACTTCACAACAATCAGGTTTTGCTCCACCGCACACGCAGTTAAAGCAGGTAGACCTCAGTTTGAGTAAGAAACTAATCAGGATTCAGACTGCTTACTTTAGCATTCACCCAGTCTATGCATAGACAGAAGTGATCAGAGATCAAAAGGTTTTCGCCCTCAGAGCCAAATGCTTTAATGATGGGGATGCAGAGCTCAAATTACTTCCCCTCACACACATTTAAGACTGAAGTCTGGGAGCTTATGAATGAACAGTTTTCTTTTATGTAGAGAGAAGTCCATGCAAGCTTACTGTAAGAGAGAGTGAAGTAGGACTAATAACGTATATTCAAACTGAGAGGAATGTTTAACTAATGCAGTACTTGAAATGAATAAAAAATAACGTGTAACTAACATGCACACATTCAACTCCCTGTAATTAAAAAAAAATAGCCATAGGTGTTTTGGGTTTTAACAGATACATGTGATAAAACCACCAAATGAAATTAGGTACGAGGTGAAAACAGTTATATTAGTAGACAGCTAACCTCTCCGGCTTCAGTAAACAAATCTATTAGATCTTACACTTCTGTTTATTATCACCCATGTAATAAATGTGCTATTTTAGAAACCTGAAAGTGCTTTCCCCTGTTTTGCCATTTTGTCATCCTTTCAGCTTCCAAATGAACAACTAAAACCTACTGCATCCTTGTCGAGTTTTAAAAATAATGTAGAAGCATTTAAATAGACTCAGTGAAAGGCTGACTGTTATTCATTATAACTGAGGAAATCAGAAAAAAGGAATATAGATTTGAGGTAGCAAATGGATTAATCCAACCATATTGACTGGATTTGCATTCATTCACAGTGTCAGCTAGAGGCTAGAGGTTTATTTAAACAAAATCTAGGGTTCCAAATGCATATTTTGCAGCGTAGATGTCCTGGGTTCAGCAGTAGCAGTCATGTTTTTTTCCTTTGTGTTAGCTGGTGCAGTGCTGTGTTTTGACTTCTAGTTTTGAGAACAGCGTTGGTGAAGCCGATGTTTTCGGTTGTTGCTAAGTGATGTTTACCCTGACCAAGGACTCTGTGAGGCTCATGCTCTGCCAGGGAGGAGGGAAAGCTGTGAGGAAGCAGAGACGGGGCGCCTGACCCGGGCTAGCCGGGGAGGTATTCCATACCACAGCACGTCATGCCCGGGGTGGGGGGTAACTGGGAGTTACCCGGAAGGACAGGAGCTTCCGGGTGGAACTCGTTTTCTTGGCCGGTGGTATCGTATTCTCTTCCCTTGTTATTTTCCCTTATCATTGTTTTAGCTGATAGTAGCGGTGGTGATTTGTTGCTGGACTGTTCTTGTCTCAACCCGTAGGAGTTGCACTCTCTCGATCCTCCTCCCCGTTCCTCCGGGAGCGGGGAAGGGGAGAGCCCCGGTGCAGGGAGGGGGGGGGAGACGAACACGGACCTTGATTGTTGTCAGCTTGGCACCACTCACTGGGAGTGAGTGAACAAGTTACCTGACTGGGTTTAAACCACGACAGTTCTTTTTGGCGCCCAACGTGGGGCACGAGGGGTTGAGATAAGAACAGATCTGACTGGATTGATAGTCACTCGTCACAATGCTGATTTATTGGCTCTCAAGGTTTTTCCTCTTGATCTCACAGTTTCAGTATACCATATCTTACGTCCATCCGGTATTGGCTGTATTAGTGTTTTTCAAGTGTGGGGCTTGGGCTAAGGTTTTTATCCCATTGTACTTTATGGTAATGACTTGTAATACAATAGAATCATTGATCATGAAACTGATCTGGCTTATGTTCCCAGTGTGGTCACCACCTTTATACTTTGGGAGGTATATGATGGAGGTGCTTAGCAATTACACATCATCACCTGGTTACTCCGATGCTGGGACAATGGGGCCGATGGTCACGAACTAGAAGGTACAGAAGCCAAGCAGCTGGGATCACTTGCTAGAGAAGGGGGAATTGACAAAGCAATTGCAAGAGAGAAAAAGTCCCTCAGCCTTTGGAGGAGGCTCTTGGCAGCTGTGAAAGAAAGGTTTCCGTACAAGGACGATGTTACGAGTCGTTCGGCCAAGTGGACTACTATAGACAAAGGCATCCAGTCTCTGAGGGAATCGGCCATCGTAGAGATGATCTATCACATCAAGCCGAATAACGGGGATACACCTATAGATCCAGATGAAGTTGAATGTACACGACCCATGTGGCGAAAACTTACACGGAATGCACCGTCATCATATGCCCATTCATTGGCAACAGTGACCTGGAATGACATAGTACCACTAACAGTGGATGAAATGGTTCATAAACTCCGAGAGTTCGAAGACAATCTCACTCCTTCCATCATCTCAGCTGTGAAAAAACTGTCCCAGGACCTCGACAAATTGAGGGACGATGTATCTGATTTATCCAGCTCCTCACGTGTACCAACACGCGTCTCAGCTATTAACAAAAGACGTCCTATTGTTCAAGAGAGGAGATACAGAAGGTATACGCCACGGGGTACCCTATGGTTTTACCTGCTGGATCACGGAGAAGACATGACAAAGTGGGATGGAAAACCTACTTCAGCTTTGGAGGAACGGGTGAGTGAACTGAAGAGGGGAGCAAGGGCCAAGACTGATCGTCCCATGAGAGCTACGGCTTCAGTTTCTGGTGAGCAGTTTCCCAGATGGAGTGGAAGAGCTGATTTTACTCCAGCTCCTGTGATAACGAAGAATAATCCCTTTCAACACGACTTAAGTGTCCAATGCTGTGACGACCATTAGAGGGGCCCTGCCTCCAGCCAGGTGGAGGTAGGGGACAATCGGATTTACTGGACTGTGTGGATCAGATGGCCTGGCACATCAGTCCCACAGAAGTATAAGGCTCTAGTAGATACCGGTGCACAGTGTACCCTGATGCCATCAAGCTGTCAAGGGGTGGAACCCATCTATATTTCTGGAGTAACAGGAGGATCCCAAGAGTTGACTGTGCTGGAGGCTGAAATCAGCCTGACTGGGAGGGAGTGGCAAAAGCACCCTATTGTGACTGGTCCAGAGGCTCCATGCATCCTCGGCATAGACTACCTCAAGAGAGGGTACTTCAAAGACCCAAAAGGGTACCGGTGGGCTTTTGGTATTGCTGCTTTGGAGACTGAGGAAATTGAGCAGCTGTCCACCTTGCCTGGTCTCTCAGAAGATCCCTCTGCTGTGGGGTTGCTGAAAGTTGAAGAACAACAAGTGCCAATTGCGACCACAACAGTGCACCGGCGGCAATATCGCACCAACCGAGACTCCCTGATTCCCATCCATCAGCTGATCCGTAGACTGGAGAGTCAGGGGGTGATCAGCAGGACCCGCTCACCCTTCAATAGCCCCATATGGCCAGTGCGAAAGTCTAATGGAGAATGGAGACTAACAGTAGACTATCGTGGCCTGAATGAAGTCACACCACCATTGAGTGCTGCCGTACCGGACATGCTAGAACTTCAGTATGAACTAGAGTCAAAAGCAGCCAAGTGGTATGCCACGATTGATATTGCCAATGCATTTTTCTCCATTCCTTTGGCAGCAGAGTGCAGGCCCCAGTTTGCTTTTACTTGGAGGGGTGTCCAGTTCACTTGGAACCGACTGCCCCAGGGGTGGAAACACAGCCCTACCATTTGCCATGGACTGATCCAGACTGCACTGGAACAGGGGCAAGCTCCAGAACACCTGCAATACATTGATGACATTATTGTGTGGGGCGATACAGCGGAAGAAGTCTTTGAGAAAGGGAGGAAAATAATCCAAATCCTGCTGAAAGCCGGTTTTGCCATAAAACGGAGTAAGGTCAAGGGACCTG